AGAAAATAAAAATATACTTAGTCAACCTGTGTACTGTGTATCCACACAAGCTCTTCAGCATTTTCTCCTCTCTCCTCAACCCTTCTCCTCCCCCACCACCCTCTTCTCTTACCACTTAGGATTCGAGAGTATAAAATGTGTGTGATCAAAACTGCACAGTCAATTTCTGGAGGAGCCCTCTCCTCACTACAGGACATTTACCACATCAGTGTAATCAGGAGGGCACTCAACATCATCAGCTCTTCAGGCTTGTGAACGACTCACACATTGCCCCTTCCCATCATTCCGACCGTTTTTACACACACACACACACACACACATACATATATATATATATATATATATATATATATATATATATATATATATATAATATGAGCTGCTCTGTTAGTCAGTGTGTTCTGTCTCTGAGCTTTTACAGTGTAAAATACTGACAAACAATTAAACACAGCAGCAACCAGAAGCTGCTCAGCATTGATTCTCTGTAAACTCACTCCAGATTTCTCAGAGGAGTTTTATGAGTGTGATGTAGAGAGGTTTATTCTCTTGTTCACAGCTGATAGAAACTCAGCCTTCATATCATTTCAGTTACACACTTATATTTAATTTAACAGCTGGATGGAGTTCTGGATACTGTCTCACTCAGTGATGCTCGTTGGGGAGCTGCAGCCATGTTTCTATATTGATGTTGATTCGGGACAATGTCTGCTGTAGACAGTAATAAATAAATACATTTTAGTTAAGTTGAATTAAATTGAACTGGACTGAATGTTCTGTTTATCTTCCTCAGATTCCTGTGAGCTCACACTGGATCCAAACACAGCACACAAAAACCTCCGTCTGTCTGAGGGGAACAGAGTGGTGACCCGCAGTAACACAGTCCAGCTGTATCCTCACCATCCAGAGAGATTTGATATTTGTTCTCAAGTTCTGAGTAGACAGAGTGTGGATGGACACAGTTACTGGGAGGTTGAGTGGAGTGGAGGGGTTAATATAGCAGTGTCATATAAAAACATCAGCAGAAAGGAAGGTACTGAGTGTGTGTTTGGACATAATGATCAGTCCTGGAGTTTGATTTGTTCTCCCTTCAGTTACTCATTCAGACACAACTACAAAGAGATTAAAATCCCTGCAGTGCCCAGCTCCTGTAGAATAGGAGTTTATGTGGATTACAGTGCAGGAACTCTTTCCTTTTACAGCATCTCTGATACAATGACCCTCCTCCATAGAGTCCACACCACATTCACTGACAACATCTATCCTGGCTTTACTGTTTATCCAGGATCAACACTTAAACTGTGCTGCCTAAGTCACTAGATGGGTGATTCCACAATTGAGGTGCCATTTGTGTCCTACTAAGGTTACATTTAGAAATATGTATGTAAAGTGAAGATAAAAGACCTTGTAAACACAGGTAAAATGTCCTTCAAAACAACTTATGAGCACATTTCTGATAAATAGCTTAAAACATTAGTTAAACTTATCAGCAGTTAGAAATGGTCCATTATAACTACACTCCATACATCGTCATTAAAATGTTTCAGAAATCTTAAGATTTTTGCATTAATGTGAGTCCATTTAACATCTCATACTCATAAACATTGTCATCAGTCAACCATTTTAAGTAATGAAAAAGGTATATTTTATTCCCTTAACATTCTATCAACACTGTTACCTCAACACATTTACCCCTCTTAAATATCTGGAATATTCCATAAGTTGCATGCTCAACAAGAAATTACATCTGAATTTCCTAAAAATCAGGAAAGACAAAAAGGGATTTTTCTTTTTATTTTTAGTTTGATAGTGATATTGATGGACAAGGTCACTTAATGTACAACTCTCTTATTCAAATTAAACAAATATCCTTCACATTTTGTGTGTTTTAATTCTATGCTAAAACCTCAACCTTTTTTTCACTTTCACTTTTATAAGAAACGAAACCCCGGGGTTGGGGATTTCATCATCTGCAGTACATACTACAAGTAAGAGTTTCAAAGAATCCAGAGAAATCTCTGTATTTAAGGGTCAAGGCCAAAAAAACAGTATTGGCTGGCTGTGATCTTCAGGCCCACAAACATGATTCAGTAGTGGAAATCACTGCATGGACTCAGGAACACTTCTTAAAAACCACTGTCTGTGAACACAGTTTGCCGTTGCATCCAGAAATGCAAGTTAAAACTCTACCATGCAAAGAAAAAGTCATATATGAACAGGATAAAGAAACGCCGCCACCTTCTTTGGGCCTGAGCTTATTTAAGATGGACTGAGGCAAAGATGTCCTGTGGTCCAACAAATCGACCACTGGGCTAAATAGGTGAGGGACTATCTGGCTTGTTGTCAGCGCACAGTTCAAAAGCCAGCATCTGTGATGGTATATGGGGGCATTAGTGTATATGGAATGGGTGACATGCATATCTGTGAAGGCACCATTAATGCTGAATGATACATGCAGGTTTTGGAGCAACATATGCTGCCATACAGACGACGTCTTTTTCAGGGAAGGCCTTTTTTCAGCAAGACAATGTCAAACCACATTCTGCCCATATTACAACATCATGGCTGTGTAGTAAAAAGTCTGGGTGCTAAACTGACCTGCCTGCAGTCCAGACCTGTCACCACTGAAAACATTTGGCATTGTGAAATGAAAAACACGACAAATGAGGCCCTGAACTGATGAGCAGCTGAAATCCTGTATCAAACAAGAACAGGAAAACATTTCACTTTCAAAACTACAGCAGTGTCTCCTCAGTTCAGTACAGAGTGTTGTTAAAGAAGAGGTGATGAAACACAGAGGTAAACAGGCCCCCGTCCCAACTTTTTTGGAAAGTGGTGCTGCCATAAAATTCTAAATGGGCATGTATTTTTCAAAAAAACAATCAAATTTCTCAGTTTCAACATTTGATATGTTGTCTTTGTAGTATTTTCTTTTTAAAATATGGTTTATATGATTTGCACATCATTGCATTCTATTTTTATTTACATTCTGCACAGCATCCCAATTTTTTTGGACATGGGGTTGTATTTATAAATGAAAGTGTTGGTGTGAAGAATCTTGTTAACTAATTCTCAAAGTAGCCATAAAATGCATGTTCCATCTGTTTGAGGTTCCTCAGTTGAACTACACATTTTTTCTTCAGTAATGTTAACGGAGTATAATTTGTTGGAAACGTTTCTGATTTACAAAACCAGCAAAATAATATGAAAAAAAATTTTTCAGTTTCAACAGTGATTTTTTGACTTTGTACTATGTCAATTAAATATAGAGTTTAAATTATTTGCACATCATTGCATTCTTACATTTTGCACAGCATCCCAAGTGTTTTGGAAAGGATTTTGCAGTTAAACAAATGTTTTACTAGATGGAATGTTAAAAAAAATTAGAAATGTTTAAATCAATTTTTAAAGCAATTTTAAGGTAAGTTTAAAGCAACAAGTCATAAGAGGCCGTGCTTTACAGTGATTTTATCTTGAGTAAGCATGTTCTGGAACTCTTTTGGAAACAAGGCCTCACCTCCACTTTAACAGTTTTACTGCACTCTCTGTCGTCTGGGTTGTTTTAGAGGGATGGTTAATGAGAGGAAATTTCCACTTTCTGGGGAGTGAACCTCATAACACATCCAAGCGGTGCCTCCAAATATAAATGCCCTAAAAAGGAAGATATATAAGCAGGAAGTTCACAAACAGCAGCTTCCTTTGATATGTGCTTTTAATGAATGAAATAAAGTACAAATGTACCATTTGTCTAGTTTCTATAAACTGCATTCTGAGTAAGAAACAGTCAACTGTGATCAAACTAGCTGGGTAAAAAGTGTATCATAAATTATCTTCAGGACAAGAAAACCGAATTATTGGTGGACACTGGGTCATAGAAATGTGCATTTGATGAAGCTTGGAAAGCTATGCACTTACCTGACATGAAACTGAGGGGCTGAAATAACTGATCCGCTTGACCCTTTAAAAGTTGAACCTGCCAGTGGTGCTGTGATAACTTATGTGGGATGGGTAGAACTTAACTTCAAGCTGGCAGCTAATACTGAAAACATCTGGCACATTATGAAATGAAAAATACGACAAATGAGCCCCCGAACTGTTGATCAGCTGAAATCCTGTATCAATCAAAAATGGGAAATCATTTCACTTTCAAAACTACAGCAGTGTCTCCTCAGTTCCCAAACACAGTGTTTTTAAAAGAAGAGGTGATGAAACACAGTGGTAAACAGGCCCCCGTCCCAACTTTTTTGGAATGTGTTGTTGGCATCAAATTCAAAATGGGCAGATTTTTTTCAAAAAAACAATAACATTTCTCAGTTTCAACATTTGATATGTTATCTTTGTAGTATAGCGTTTTTAGAAATGGGTTTTAAGTTGATTTCTAGTACACTAAGTGAATGGCCACTAGGGAGCCTGTAGAAAGAGGCTATGGGTTTAAAAAAGACCCTATACTGTGGTGTCTGCCATGGGCTCTGTGTTGCCATGGGGATCTCAGGGGTGTGGCCATGAGAAGTAGCTCTCATATGCGCAACTCCCAGGTTAAAGGGACATTTTGTTGTGGTTAATGTTTATTAGTCATTATCATGTTACAACTAGGTTGTGTCTCATTGTGTTCTTGTCAGTTTTACTAGTTTGTCTTGATGATTTACCCTCTTCATGGTAAGTTTGGCTTTTAATGACCTCATTTGAAAAGACCTGCCCAGGGTCTTCTAGGGTGCTAATGTGGTGATACCATATGTTTCTTTGGCTTGAAACGTAGAGCTACAAAAAGGACCATTTAAGAATCTGTATTTTCAGAGTGAAAATCAGGTAAGGTAACATGCATTAGATCTCATGTAATCGCTCTCTTTCTCGATCTGCCTGTTTTTGTCTCCTCCCACTCTCAGTTCAGCAGAAGAGAAATTGAAGCAGATCTCTACTGTGTATGTGTATCTCACAGACAGAACCAGGAAGTTCACTTTGTTTGTGTTGCTATGTTGGTTTTATTGTTGTAGAATTTCTGTAAAATGGCAGAGGCCAGTCTCTCAGTGAAGGAGTTCATCTGTCCAGTTTGTCTGGAGCTACTGAAAGATCCAGTGACCGTTGCGTGTGGTCACAGTTTCTGTAAGGTGTGCATTAATAGTTGCTGGGATCAGGAGGATCTGAAGGGGGTTTATAGCTGCCCTCAGTGCAGACGCTCCTTCACTCAGAGGCCTGTTGTGGGTAAAAACACCATGCTGGCTGAAGTGGTGGAGAAACTGAAGAAGACGGAGCTCCACACTGCTTCTCCTGCTGGACCTGGAGATGTGGAGTGTGATTTCTGCACTGGGAGAAAACTCAAAGCCGTCAAATCCTGCCTGGTATGTCTGGCCTCTTACTGTGAAACTCACCTCCAGCCTCATTATCAGTCTCCTGCCTTTAAAAAGCACAAGCTGGTCAAAGCCTCCAGACGCCTCCAGGAGCAGATCTGCTCTGAGCATGAGAAACGGCTGGAGGTTTACTGTCGCACTGACCAGCAGTGTATCTGCATGCTGTGTACCATGGATGACCATAAAGGACATGATACAGTATCAGTTGCAGCAGGACGAGCTGAGAAACAGGTAAGAACTCAATACAAACCTTTTCTGCTATTGACTATTCATCAAGAAATGTGAGGTGGGGTCTGTTATACAGTTTCATTGTTTTCTGAATGTAGCACAATAAAATACTTCCAGAAAAAAGTGAAATCTGTCCAGTTCTGTTTCTGACATAAAGTGCAATTTTTGACGTGAAGCCAGAGATATTAACCCTAATACATTGCAAGGATTTCAGATAATAAAAGGAAATTTTTATAGGTTTTTATTCATAGTTCATTAAAACAAGAGGAGAAATAGTGAGGAAAGTGCAGATTCTATCCTTTAGCTCTCAATTCATTTCAATCCACATTAGCGTTTGTTAGTTGAAGGGGAGATATTATATTGAGTTGAATTTGGTGAAAAATTATTATTGTATGTACAGTCTAGTTTTCCTGAAAGGAAAAAAAAACCTTTTACAACCCTATTGTCCCAATTCCCTTCGGCTCTGAACTCTCTTTGGACTCAATCTCCCAGAATCCCCTGGGAGATCACCTGTCTCCAGCCTCACTCTCACGCTCCAATTAGCACTCCAGTTCCCCAGAGTATTGATCAGTAACACCTGTTCTTCCTTGATTAGTTTAGCTTAAAGCCCAGGCTTGTAGATAGTCTCATTGCGAGGTATTGCTTGTTTTCATAGAGCTACTGAGCGTTATTTCTGACTGTTTTTTCGTGTTTTGACCTGCCTTTTGCCTGATCCCTTTTGGACTCTTTTGCCTGGTTATGTTTGTGTTTTTGTGTATATTGTCTTTTCTGGATTTGACCATTGCCTGTGACCTGACTACAATTGTGGATTCTATTTGCACTAGTAAAGCCTCTCATTCACCTTTTATCTGCGAGTGTCTACGTCATTCTGTCGCGTTACACCCATTTCCAAAAGAGTTGTGACACTGTAAAATATAAATAAAAACAAAATGCAATGATGTGCAAATCATTTAAACCCTATATTTCATTGAAAATAATACCAACACAACATATCAAATGTTGAAACTAAGAAATTTCATTGTTTTTTGAAAAATATTTGTCCATTTTGAATTTGATAGCAGCAACATATTCCAAAAAAGGTGGGACGGAGGCAACAAAAGTTGTGAAGTGGTAAAGTGAAAAAAAACACTAACATGATTGGGTATAAAAAAGCATCCCAGAGAATCTTTCAGAAGATGAAGAGGGGTTCACCACTCTGTGAAAGACTGCACCATGAAATAGTGCAACAATTCAAGAATAACGTTTCTCAACATAAAATAACAAAGAACTTTTGCTTTTCATCATCTACGGTACATAATAGCAGTAAAAGATTCAGAGAATCTGGAGAAATCTCTGTATGTGAGGGGCAAGGCTGAAAACCAGTATTTGCTGGCCGTGATCTTTGGGCCCTCAGATGGCACTGCATTAAAAACACTCTGTAGTGGAAATCACTGCATGGGCTCAGAAACACTTCAGAAAACCACTGTCTGTGAACACAGTTCATCACTGCATCCACAAATGCAAATAATAAACTCTAAAACACAAAGAAGAAATTGTACATAAACAGGATCCAGAAACGCTGCCACCTTCTCTGGGCCTGAGCTCATTCAAAATGGACTGAGGGGAAGTGGAAAAGTGTCCTGTCATGCTGCAATGCTGTTGGTGCATTATTGAATTAAAATATGAGAAAAGGGACACTGAACTGTTGAGCAGCTGAAATCCTGTGTCAAACAAGAGCAAGAAAACATTTTACTTTCAAAACACTCAGTTCCCAAACACTTACAGAGTGCTGTTAAAAGAAGAGGTGATGAAACACAGTGGTAAACAGGCCCCCGTCCCAACTTTTTTGGAACATGTTTTTGGCATCAAATTCAAAATGGACAAATATTAAAAACAACAACAAAAAAAAAAAACAATAAAATTTCTCAGTTTCAACATTTGATATGTTGTCTTTGTAGTATTTTCCTTTAAAAATATGGTTTACATGATTGCGTATCATTGCACTATATTTTTATTTACATTCTGTGAATAAGAAGTAATGAATTTGCTTTCACCATCTTCAGACTTCAATACTATTAAAATCTTAAAATTGTAGACAAACATTTATATGCTGTGATTTCAGCACCCAGGGTTCTTAGTAAGTAATGACCTAAAGGGTGTCCAAACTTATGCACATGCCATACTTTATATTTTATTTTCTTCCAATATGTTCAATGTAGCCAATAAATAATAACGGTGCTCTAAAATCTCTAAAATGTCATATTTACATTTGTTCCACAGTTTTAAAATTAGAAAATCAACAGTGTATAGTTTCACCAGGAGTTTCTAAACTTTCTCACACAACAGGACTTAAGTAACTGTGTAATTGTCTTATTACATTGACATAGTATCGCTGTTAGCAGTGATTTCTGTCATATTAATATTCCTCCATAAATATCACATTTACAGTCAGAATTTGACAATTTGTTGCAAACCATTTGCAAAATTTTAGTCAAATGACCAATTGAAATAATAAGCTATTATTTCACTTTAAAAACGGAGCTAAATAATTAATGTTTGATTTTTCCCCATTGCAGAAGCAGTTGGTGGAGACTCAGAGAAAATATCAGCAGAAAATCCAGGAGAGAGAGAAGGAGCTTCAGGAGCTGAAGAAAACTGTGGAGTCTCACAAGGTGAGTTTGGAGCAGAGCAGAAGAACAAAAGCTGATTTCCAGAAGATCTGATTCAGGATCAGTCAGGATTCTCCTCCAGTCAGCCAGTGAGGAGCCACTGACTGATTCTTTTATCATCACAGCCTGAAAATATCATTACATTAGTTGGATTAATGCTTATTTACTATAAAAAACTAAACATATTTCTCATTAATTATGTTTCAGTTTTTATGACTGTGGTTTGTATTGTGTAAATTTTAACTGTCCTTTTAAATAAAAAACAAAAAAAGATTACATTAGAAAAAAAAACAACATTAGAATTACAATAATGCAATAATGACTAATTTAGAAAGTTATTTTTGATAGTGTTGGTGTATTAAAAGGCGTCTCTGTCTCTCTCACTCTCTCTATCTCTCTCTCTCTCTCTCTCTGTATCAGAGCTCTGCTCAGGCAGCACTGAAGGACACTGAGAGGATCTTCGCTGAGCTGATCTGCTGCATTGAGAGAAAACGCTCTGAGATATCAGAGCTGATCAGAGCTCAGGAGGAGGCTGCAGTCAGAGGAGCTGAAGGAGTCCTGGAGAGACTGGAGCAGGAGATCTCTGAGCTGAGGAGGAGAAACACTGAGCTGGAGCAGCTTTCATTCACTGAGGACCATCTTCATTTCCTCCAGGTAACAGCAGCGTCAGAACCTCCACACTGAGATCCATCTGGACATCCAGCTGCGCTGGTGCGAGTGGATCAGACACAGCAGTGCTGCTGGAGTTTTTAAACACTGTGTCCACTCACTGTCCACTCTATTAGACACTCCTACCTTGTCAGTCCACCTTGTAGATGTAAAGTCAGAGACGATAGCTCATCTGCTGCTGCACAGTTTGTGTTGGTCATCCTCTAGTCCTTCATCAGTGGTCACAGGACAGTGGTCACAGGAGACTGCCCACAGGACGCTGTTGGCTGGATATTTTTGGTTGGTGGACTATTCTCAGTCCAGCAGCGACACTGAGGTGTTTAAAAACTCCAGCAGCACTGCTGTGTCTGATCCACTCAGACCAGCGCAACACACACTAACACACCACCACCACGTCAGTGTTACTGCAGTGCTGAGATATGGAGTGAGTTTTGTGCCAAAATGTTTGAGTGAAGATCCTGATGTTTAAGAGAGGAATGTTCCGGTTTGAGAGGACAGCGGTGCTCTGAGCGCAGCTAATGAACTTGCTCAACAAAACAGTCTGATTTCATTCGAAACTGAAAAACTTGCTCAATCGTGAAGGGCCGGTCCTGTCAGTCCACCAATCATGGCATCTTTTCTTAAGCAGCTTTATGCCAATTGGTCAAGGTACGTTCGTGGCTGTGGTACCCAGTCGGCTAGTGTGCTTGTAGCCTCGACATTAGCTAGATGGTTTCTAGCTTTCTAGTATCAAATTAATAGAAATGATTTATCAGTAATACTCAAATAAATAGTAACGTATTAATCTAACTAACATTGGCTATTGGTTAAGCTATTTGAAGTTAGCTAACATTTTGGCACAAAACTAACTCCATACTGAGAAGCCTGGCTGAGCCTACAGACAGTCTCAAATCAAATTAGTAGGCACAGAAAACTTAACTAGCAAAAACAACTGTGTTACAGCATCACTACTGAAAGTCAATGCTGAGTTATGCTGGGTCTGATCAGTGGATTTAGCTGTGAATGTCTGTAAAGCAGAAACAGAGCAGAGCAGTTTGATGATGTCTGGGTTTAAATTTCCAGACTCATTACATACTAAGGCTGTTATTCAGTAACTACAGGGACTTGTATGTAAACTGGCTGAGCTGTTCTTATAGATTATAGAAGTGTGTAATGAAACTTTGGGCCTGCTGGTGGACGCTGGCCATTTAAGGGGTAAAGTGCATGTAGGTGTGATTTTTATTGAAGATTTTTGAATTTATGTGAATTAGTTTTAGTTGTTTTTCTTCATCTACATGTTCTCTTATCTCTCTTTGTTGTATCTGTAACTCACCGTGTCTCTGTGTAGAGTTTCCAGTCTCTCTCTGCTCCTCCTGGACCTGCAGTCTTTCCCTCCATCACTGCCCGTCCTGTCCACTCTTTTGAAAAGGTAGTGAAGTCTGTGTCTCAGCTGAGGGACAAAGTGGTAAATCTCTGTGAAAGGGAGATCAGAAAAACATCACTTCATGGTAAATTACTAAATTTATTAACTTAAGACATACATTCTGTCAGTTTTATAAAGAATATGAAGACTGTGTTTGTGTTAGTGCAGTGCTTTGTAAGCCTACACTGTACAAGGATGGCAGCTGCAGTACAACAGGAGAGAGAGACATTCTGTCCTTTAACAGTTTGAAGTAAACGTAAATCTCTGAGCTCTTTTAGTGATTAACTGTGTTTAACTGTTTCAACAGTGAAAGAAATCCAGATCACTGAACCCCAAACCAGAGAGGAGTTTCTACACTGTAAGTCTGATTCACAGACTGTGGGCTGAATCTCAAATCTGTAATCGAGCGTCTTCATTTCCTTTCCTTGAATCTGTTGCTCATGTCTAAGATCCTCTCTGAGGACAGGAGGAGAGGTAAGGAGAGGATATGAGGACGAATGAATCAACAACAAACATATTTATCAAATCAGACAGTCACCTTATGAACCCCTTGCTCACATTTAACAGGACATAAATGATCTTCTAGTAACACTTATTATCTTATTATGAACAAACTTTTCATATCATCATATTTCATTGATTTTCATCCACATCAACAGTTTAAATCAGTTTCCTTTAACAGACCCACCTATTAACTGTACTAATCCAATACAAACAGGTGGAGAAACTGAACCACAGAGTAACGTCACACTGAGATCCACCCTATTAGAGCTTCCCTCCACTCTCCTCTTCTCCACTCTCCTCCTCTCCACTCTCCTCTTCTCCACTCTCCTCCTCTCCACTCTCCTTCTTTCAACTCTCCTCCTCTCCACTCTCCACTTCTCCACTCTCCTTTTCTCCACTCTCCTCCTCTCCACTCTCAACTTCTCCACTCTCCTCCTCTCCACTCTCCACTTCTCCACTCTCCTTTTCTCCACTCTCCTCCTCTCCACTCTCAACTTCTCCACTCTCCACTTCTCCACTCTCCTCCTCTCCACTCTCCACTTCTCCACTCTCCTCCTCTCCACTCTCCACTTCTCCACTCTCCACTTCTCCACTTCTCCACTCTCCTCCTCTCCACTCCTCCACTCTCCTCCTCTCCACTCCTCCACTCTCCTCCTCTCCACTCTCCACTTCTCCACTCTCCTCTTCTCCACTCTCCACTTCTCCACTCTCAACTTCTCCACTCTCCTCCTCTCCACTCTTAACTTCTCCACTCTCCACTTCTCCACTCTCCTCCTTTCCACACTCTTCTTCTCCACTCTCCTCTTCTCCTCTTCTCCACTCTCCTCCTCTCCACTCTCCACTTCTCCACTCTCATCCTCTCCACTCTCCACTTCTCCACTCTCAACTTCTCCACTCTCCTCCTCTCCACTCTCAGCTTCTCCACTCTCCTCCTCTCCACTCTCCTCCTCTCCACTCTTAACTTCTCCACTCTCCTCTTCTCCACTCAATTCAATTTAAAGTAGCTTTATTTGCAGGACTGTTTTGAGTACAATGTTGCCAAAGCATATAAAATTCAACTCAAAGCGGAACATATTTTGTAGAACTAAAAAACAAATATAGAATTAACGGTAACAATGAATAATGGTCATTGAAATAACAGCAACAATGTTAAAATAAATACAGTAAGTAAATAAAATAAGACAATATAATACATGTTGTAAAGCTTGGTAAAATAAATAAATAAATACAGTAAATAAATAAAATAAGACAACATATATAATAAAAATAATTACAATCGGTGTATTTAACCTATATACAGTGAAGGGTTTGGGGGGGGTCAGTGAGGTGGGGGTGTGGAGTGTGTTACTGTCCCTCAGGCTGTGACAAGCTGCCACATATTTCGCAGAGAGAGACGCTGAGCTGCCCTCACCAAGGAAGATCGGTAGTCTTTCAGATTCTGTTAGAATTTGAAAATTTGGGAGAATGTTTTTAATTTTGTTATGAAATTTTCTCGTGCCAATTTGAATTTTTCACACTGAAGGAGGAAGTGCAGCTCTGTCTCGACCTCACCGCTCTCACAGTGACCGCACAGTCTTCTCTCTCTGGGCAGCCAGGATTTTTTATATCTGCCCGTTTCTATGGCCAGACTGTGGTCACTGAGCCTGTACTTGGTCAGGATCTGTCTCTGCTGTGGGTCTCTGACGGTGAAGAGATACTCTGCCAATTCATACTCTCTGTTTAGGGCCCGATAGTTCTGTAATTTAGACTGAGTTCTGGTTTCGCTGTCCCAATGTTCCAGATAGGTGTTTTTACTGTGTCTGATAATTTGGTTTACTCTGATTGGACTTTGGTCAGCAGTGCTGGACTGAGGCTGCTGTGTGTTAGGGGTCAGTGGGTTAGTTAGTCTCAGAACCAGCTGACAGAGGGGACTGGGTTTAGGGCTGAACTCTTGGGCTTTAAGTGCTTTATATTGTAGTGAGTTTGAATTACTGAATTTTAGATGTTGCCAGAATTTTAAAGCTCTTTTCTGAACGGGTATAATCAGTGGAAATCGGCCTAATTCTGCCCTGCATGCATTTGTAGGTGTTTTTCGTTGAACTTTTAATATATTTCTGCAGAATTCTGCATGCAGGGATGTCTATTTTGTGGAACTGTCTCCTGATGGCGTAGAGAGCTCTCCGCGCTTTCTCTTTCAGTGCATTCACTCCCAGATCAAAGTTTCCTGAGGCACTGATTTTCAGTCCTAGGTAATCATAGTGTAACGAGTGCTCTAGGGCGGTGTTTCCTAGAGTGAAAAGGTGTCTGTTTTCCTGAGATCTGTTTTTTTTCTGGAAGATTACTATTCTAGTTTTGTCCAGATTGACTATCAGGGCCCAGTTCTGACAGAACTGCTCCAGCAGGTCCAGGTGCTGCTGTAGCCCTCGTTCTGTGGGCGACAGCAGCACCAGGTCATCTGCGTAGAGCAGGAATTTCACTTCCGTGTGGTTTAGGGTGAGTCCAGGAGCTGCAGACTGTTCCAGTAACACCGCTAACTCGTTTATATAAATGTTGAACAGGGTTGGACTCAGGCTGCAGCCCTGTCTCACCCCGCGCCCCTGAGTGAAGTGCTTTGTTCTTTTGTCGCCGAGTTTAATTCCACACTTGTTGTTCAGATAAATGGACTTGATGATGTCATATACTTTACCCCCTACACCGCATTGTAGAGTCTGATAGAATAATCCAGTGTGCCAAATGGAATCAAAAGCTTTCTTAAAATCAACGAAACATGCAAATATTTTACTGTTGCTGTTTTGGTGGACGTGCTGGTTGATTAGGGTGTGTAGGGTGTAAATATGATCGGTAGTCCAGTGATTTGGTAAAAAGCCAATCTGACTCTTACTTGAGACACTGTGTTCGGTAAGGAAGGCCTGTATTCGGGTGTTAATAATACAGCAGAAAACCTTCCCCAGGTTGCTGCTCACACAGATGTCTCGGTAGTTGTTGGGGTCAAATTTGTCTCCACTCTTGTATATCGGGGAAATAAGCCCCCTGTTCCAGGATTCAGGAAAGCAGCCAGCTTGAAGAACCAGGTTAAAGATTTTCAGCAGGGCCCTGTGCAGGTCAGGAGAGCTGCTCTTCAGCATCTCAGTCCTGATGCTGTCAGGGCCGCAGGCTTTCTTCGTTTTTAGGTTTTGGAGTGCGTCGGCCAATTCTTCTGGGGTAATTTCGTAATCTAATGGGTTTTGATTGTTTTTGATAGCAGATTCGAGAAGTTCTAATTTATTTTTTATGTAATTTTGGTTGCGTGTGAGATTTTCTGTTGGGGTTTCTTTAAATAGATTTTCAAAGTATGTTTTCCATGTGTTTCCGTTCTGTATTGGTATCTCCTGGTTTTCTGGTGTTTTTAGAGTGTTCCATTTTTCCCAGAACTGGTTTTGGTTAATAGAATTTTCAATTTCTTGTAGAGTTTGGTTGTAATGTTGCTTTTTTTTCTGATAAATAGTTTTCTTGTATTGCTTGAGTGTTTCATGGTATTTTTGTCTCAGTTCTGCCTTTTGTGGTTCTTTGTGTTTTTGATTAGATAGCTTTCTAAGTTGTTTTCTTATAATTTCACACTCCTCATCATACCACTTTTCTTTGTGGGGTCTTTGTCTTTTCTTCTTTGATTTACTGAGGTTTGCTTTGATTGCAGATTCATTATAAATTTCATTAATTTGTTTTACAGCCAGATTTATGTGTCTCTCATTAGGCTGGAACTCTGTTGTTAGGAATTGGTTAATAAGGTTAGTAATCTCTGTAGAACTGATTGCACTGGTGAATTCAGACACACTGTTAAGAGTCCACTTGTACGTAGGGCTGATTTGTATTAGTTTACAGGACTTCTCTGATTTATTTGATTGTTGAATCCTCTTCAGAAACACATTAATTTGGCAGTGGTCTGATAGTGGTGACTGAGGTCTGACAGTGAATGCACTGATAGAGGAGGGGTCCATGTCAGTAATGGCGTAGTCGACTACACTAGACCCAAGAGCTGAGCAGTAAGTGAACCGACCTAAAGAGTCTCCTCGGATCCGACCGTTAAGCATGTACAGGCCCAGGCCTCGACAGAGCTGCACTAACTCCTTACCGCTCCTATTTACGGCAGAGTCAGGGTTACTGCGTGCTGCTGACGTGGGGGTCAGGTTTGGGGAGGCCTTAAATATGTGGTTATTTCCTTGGGTGTCAATTATATCAGATTCAGAACCTGTTCTGGCATTAAAGTCTCCACACAGCAGCACATTGCCCTGAGCCTGGAAATGGCTGCTTTCTGTGTGGAGGTTGTTGAAGAACTCTTCGTTATAGTCTGGGATTCTGCAGGAGGAGTGTAAGCTGCACAAATATAGAGGTCAGGTTCACAATTAGTAATGCCTTTTTTAAGTTTCAGCCAAATGTGGGTGGGTTCTTCTCCACTCTCTTCTCCTCTCCACTCTCCTCTTCTCCTCCTCTCCACTCTCCACTCTCGTCCTCTCCACTTCTCCACTCTCCTCCTCTCCACTCTCCTCTTCTCCACTCTCCTCCTCTCCACTCTCCTCCTCTCCACTCTCCTCCTCTCCACTCTCCACTCTCGTCCTCTCCACTTCTCCACTCTCCTCCTCTCCACTCTCCTCTTCTCCTCTTCTCCACTCTCCTCCTCTCCACTCTCCTCCTCTTCTCCACTCTCCTCTTCTCCTCTTCTCCACTCTCTTCTCCTCTCCACTCTCCTCTTCTCCTCTTCTCCACTCTCCTCCTCTCCACTCTCCACTCTCCTCCTCTTCTCCACTCTCGTCCTCTCCACTTCTCCACTCTCTTCTCCTCTCCACTCTCCTCCTCTCCACTCTCCACTCTCCTCCTCTCCACTCTCCACTCTCCACTCTCCTCCTCTCCACTCTCCTCCTCTCCACTCTCCTCCTCTCCTCTTCTCCACTCTCCTCCTCTCCACTCTCCTCCTCTCCACTCTCCACTCTCGTCCTCTCCACTTCTCCACTCTCCTCCTCTCCACTCTCCTCTTCTCCTCTTCTCCACTCTCCTCCTCTCCACTCTCCTCCTCTCCACTCTCCTCCTCTTCTCCACTCTCCTCTTCTCCTCTTCTCCACTCTCTTCTCCTCTCCACTCTCCTCTTCTCCTCTTCTCCACTCTCCTCCTCTCCACTCTCCACTCTCCTCCTCTTCTCCACTCTCGTCCTCTCCACTTCTCCACTCTCCTCCTCTCCACTCTCCTCCTCTATACTCTCCACTTATCCACTCTCTTCCTCTCCACTCTCCTCTTTCCTCTCCTCCACTCTCCACTCTCCTCCTCTCTACTCTCCACTCTCCTCTTCTCCACTCTCCACCTCTCCATTCTCCTCCTCTCCTCCACTCTCCACCTCTCCATTCTCCTCCTCTCCTCCACTCTCCTCTTCTCCACCCTCCTCCTCTCCACTTCTCCACTCTCCTCTTCTCCACTTTCCTCTTCTCCACTCTCCTCCTCTCCACTCTCCTCTTCTCCACTCTCCTCCTCTCCACTCTCCTCTTCTCCACTCTCCTCCTCTCCACTTCTCCACTCTCCTCCTCTCCAGTCTCCTCTTCTCCACTCTCCTCCTCTCCACTTCTCCACTCTGCACTTCTCCACTTCTCCACTCTCTTCCACTCCACTCTCCTCTTTCCTCTCCTCCACTCTCCACTTCTTCACTCTCCTCTTCTCCTTGTCCCCACTCTCCTCTCCACTCTCCTCTTCTCCACTCTCCTCTTCTCCTCGTCCCCACTCTCCTCTCCACTCTCCTCTTCACTCTCCTCTCCACTCTCCTCTTCTCCACTCTCCTCTTCTCCACTCCCCTCGTCCCCACTCTCCTCTTCTCCACTCTCCTCCTCTCCTCGTCCCCACTCTCCTCTTCTCCACTCTCCTCCTCTCCACTCTCCTCGTCCCCACTCTCCTCTCCACTCTCCTCTTCTCCCCTCTCTACTTCTCCACTCTCCTCCTCTCCACTCTCCTCTCTACTCTCCTCTTCTCCACTCTCCTCCTCTCCTCCACTCTCCTCCTCTCTCCTCCTCTCCACTCTCCTCTTCTGCTCGTCCCCACTCTCCTCTCCACTCTCTTCTTCTCTACTCTCTACTTCTCTTCTCTCCTCTTCTCCACTCTCCACTTCTCTTCTCTCCTCTTCTCCACTCCACTCCACTCCATTCTCCTCCTCTCCACTCTCCACTTTTTTCTTCTCTTCTCTCTTTTTCTTCACTCTCCTCTTCTCCATTCTCCCCTTCTCCATTCCTCTCTTCTGAACTCTCCTCTTCTCTACTCTCCTGTTCTCCAGTCCTGTCTTCTCCACTTTCCACTTCTCCACTCTCCTCTTCTCCACTCTCCTCTTCTCCATTCATCTTTTCTAAACTCTCCTCTTCTCCACTCTCCTCTTTTCCACTCTCCTCTTCTCTACTTTCCTCTTCTTCACTCTCCACTTCTCCAGTTTCCTCTTCTCCACTCTCCATCCTCCTTTTCTCCACTTCTCCACTCTCTTCTCCACTCTCCATCCTCCTTTTCTCCACTTCTCCACTCTCTTCTCCACTCTCCACCTTCCTTTTCTCCACTCTCCACTTCCTCACTCTCCTCTTCTCCATTCTCCTCTTCTCCATTCCTCTCTTCTCCACTCTCCACCCTCCTTTTCTCCACTTTCCACTTCTCCACTCTCCTCTCCTCCTCTTCTCTTCTCCATTCCCCTCTTTTCCACTCTCCTCTTCTCCACTCTCCACCCTCTTTTTCTCCACTCTCCTTTTCTCTGCTCTCCTATTCTCCACTCTCCTGTTCTCCATTCCCGTCTTCTCCTCTTCTCCACTCTTCACTCTCCTCTTCTCCACTTCTCCATTCCCCTCTTCTCACTCTCCACTTCTCCGCTCTCCTTTTTTCCACTCCCGTCTTCTACACTCTCTACTTCTCCTCTCTCTACTTTTCTTTTCTCTTCTCTCATTTTCTCCACTCTCCTCTTCTCCACTCTCCTGTTCTCCATTCCCGTCTTCTCCACTCTCCTCTTCTTCACTCTCTACTTCTCCTCTCTCCTCTTCTCCATTTTCCTCTTTTCCACTCTCCTCTTCTCCATTTTCCTCTTCTCCACTCTCCTCCACTTTCCTCTTCTCCACTCTCCTTCACTCTCCTCTTCTCCATTCTCCTCTTCTCCATTCCTCTCTTCTCCACTCTCCTCTTCTCCACTCTCCTCCTCTCCACTCTCCTCCTCTCTTCTCTCCTCTTCTCCACTCTCCACTTCTCCACTCTCCTCCTCTCCACTCTCCTCTTCTCCACTCTCCACTTCTCCACTCTCCTCTTCTCCACTCTCCACTTCTCCACTCTCCTCCTCTCCACTCTCCTCTTCTCCTCTTCTCCACTCTCCTCCTCTCCACTCTCCTCCTCTCTTCTCTCCTCTTCTCCACTCTCCACTTCTCCACTCTCCTCTTCTCCACTCTCCACTTCTCCACTCTCCTCCTCTCCACTCTCCTCTTCTCCACTCTCCTCCTCTCCACTCTCCACTCTCCTCCTCTCCACTCTCCACTTCTCCACTCTCCACTTCTCCACTCTCCTCTTCTCCACTTCTCCACTCTCCTCTTCTCCACTCTCCTCCACTCTCCTCCTCTCTTCTCCACTCTCCACTTCTCCACTCTCCTCTTCTCCACTCTCCACTTCTCCACTCTCCTCCTCTCCACTCTCCTCTTCTCCACTCTCCACTTCTCCACTCTCCTCTTCTCCACTCTCCACTTCTCCACTCTCCTCTTCTCCACTCTCCACTTCTCCACTCTCCTCCTCTCCACTCTCCTCTTCTCCTCTTCTCCACTCTCCTCCTCTCCACTCTCCTCCTCTCTTCTCTCCTCTTCTCCACTCTCCACTTTTCCACTCTCCACTTCTTCGCTCTCCTCCTCTCCACTCTCCTCTTCTCCACTCTCTTGTTCTCCACTCTCCTCCTCTCCACTCTCCTCTTCTCCACTCTCTTGTTCTCCACTCTCCACTTTTCCACTCTCCACTTCTCCACTCTCCTCCTCTCCACTCTCCTCTTCTCCACTCTCTTGTTCTCCACTCTCCTCCTCTCCACTCTCAACTTCTCCACTCTCTTGTTCTCCACTCTCCTCTTCTCCATTCCTGTCTTTTCCACTCTCCTCTTCTTCACTCTCCTCCTATGTTGAGTTTATTTCTTCTGTGTCTTTTTTTTGCTGAGTTTCCCTTAATTATAGTTTTGAAATAAACTTGACTGAAACAGCAACTATTGAAATCTTTAATATTCACATAAACATTCATGCAGTTGCTTGAAGTGGATAATTTGTTGCCACCAATAAGGAATTAGGTGAATTATAATGAAACAGTATTTTTACAAATCAAAGTAAATGAAAAAAAAAACATACACCTGATCAGGTGTTAAACAATCTGAGAGAATCACAAGGTTCCAATGACCTGTTGAAGAAACTAATAACAGTGATATTAGAGGGTGAACAGACAGAAGGAGCTGCAGCTGATTAATGATCAGTTCCTGAGCTGCTCTGTTAGTCAGTGTGTTCTGTCTCTGAGCTCTTACTGTGTAAAATACAGACATACAATCAAACACAACAGCAACCAGAAGCTGCTCAGCATTAAAGATTCTCTGTAAACTCAATCCAGACTTCTCAGAGGAGTTTTATGAGCTTTGTGACAGCTTTTGAACTGAATGTTGTGTTTTATCTCCCTCAGATTCCTGTGAGCTCACACTGGATCCAAACACAGTGAATAAATACCTCCGTCTGTCTGAGGGGAACAGAGTGGTGACCTACAGTAACACAGTCCAGCCGTATCCTGACCATCCAGACAGATTTTATGTCTACCAGGTTCTGTGTAGAGAGAGTGTGAGGGGACGCTGTTACTGGGAGGTTGAGTGGAGTGGGAGTGTGGGAGTTTATATTGCAGTGTCATATAAAAATGTCAACAGGAAGGGAGTCAGTACTGATTGTGTGTTTGGACATAATGATCAGTCCTGGAGTTTAATCTGTTCTCACTCCAGATTGTCATTCAGACACAGTAATAAAGAGACTGTCCTCCCTGCAGTGCCCAGCTCCTGTAGAATAGGAGTGTATGTGGATCACAGTGCAGGAACTCTGTCCTTCTACAGCGTCTCTGATACAATGACCCTCCTCCATAGAGTCCACACCACATTCACTCACAGCATCTACCCTGGGTTTACTGTTGGTTTAAACTCAACACTTAAACTGTGCAGCTCAGATCAGTAGATGAAGCTGAAATATTCACACCTCATTTCTCTCCACCACAGCAGACTATCAGTAAAATGGATATTATATATACAGACTTTAATTGGTCAAATTCTATATTTTTAACTAAAGTTTTTTCTTCCCTTGATGCCAACTTAAAACAGGTGTAATTTTTCCATTCTGCTGTACATTTACAGTAATAAGCTGTAATTGAAATAAAATGGAAGCTACTGTAAATTCATCTATTAAAAATGTACATTTTAATTCGACTAGATCTATAAATATGTCCCCACGACCCAGAAGGATAAGCAGCTTAGAAAATGTGTGTATGCGTGTGTGTTTATAAATATGTGAAACGTTTTGATGAACCTTTTTTGATGAAATTTAACTAAAGGAAAAATAAACAAAAATAAAATCAAAAAGTTGTAAATGCAAATAAACAATTAATAAACAGTTTAGCTTTGCTTAAAACTTGCCTGAATAACATGTCCAAAAACTCACGTCTGGCAAGATCAATAATCAATATATTATTTATATATATATATATATATATATATATATATATATATATATATATATATATATATATATTATTTTTTCTCCATTGAAACAATCAAAAAACAAAACAAAACAAAATCCAGGGTAAAAATTTAAAACACCAACAGTTGAATCACTAATCAGTAAAAACATTTGTTTTTTAAAAAAACACATTTTTATTAAAATCTGTATGATTTTTAACTGTGTTATTTCAGAATATATTTTAAGAGGAGCTGATTTCACAATAAATGCCCCAAATGAAATCCAGAAGAGATTTGGGTAGTAATGGAATAAATGTAATAGTGTTCTGTAAAAAGTAAAATACAGTAATCAGATTACAGCAACATTATCCACGGAGTGATGACCCTAAATAACGTAAACACATACATACAAACTTACCATCCACTGATATTCTCTGTTCTGAATGATAAATATGGGACATGAATCTTGTAGATTTGAAGAGTTTGGCATTTTGGGAGGAAGTTGTGGAGCGAGCTCACCGTCTTTTATTCAGCTGATCTACAGACATTTTAGAAAGCTTTTTATTTGTATTGTCAGAGCTCAGATCTGCAGCGTTTTCCTGAAGATTTCTGAATTAGGTGCTCACTCTGACTGACCGCATCACCTGATTCTACAGCAGCAACTGATCTGGAACTGAATCGGTTCATTCTCATTTTTCTGGCATAAAATTTTACAGTTTAAATAGCTATAAATCACACTTTTATAAAGTTGGCAGATTTTAATGCTGAGGTGAACTAATATTAACTCACCACCCAGAAACATGAAAAGAAAGCAAAGTCTTGTGAGTGTCGTGTGTCACATGCTGTCGTGACAGATTCTATTCAGAGTGTGATGTAATTACTGTGTCTAGTGATCGTAATGACAGATGCCGTTTGATATCACGACAGTTTGTCACACTGTAATTTTATTCTCTAAGTGTGCTGCCATGAGAAGAGCTGACCTGTTGCAGGCTGAATAGGTGATCATATGGAAATATGTTCATGGTTGTGACATCACGGTGAGAAATTCAAAACAAATTTTCAGCTCAATTTCTATATGTGGACTGTGGATTGGGGAGTGAAACTAACAGTGTTTACAGAGCAAATCAAACTCTATGACTTAAAAAAAGCATTTTTTGATTCTCTTGAAATCTTTATTTGTCTATACGTGTTATCAGCCAAACGTTTGAGTGCACCTGCTTAAAACTGTTTGTTCATGTTTGTTCATCACTTCTAAAATGTACATTGTTAAGGAGATAATCATAATTAAACTATATTTTTAATATTATTTAATGGAATTTTGCTAATTTGCTAATTAAGAGACCTTAATGTAGCACTCAGTGTTTGATAACAAGTAAACTGAGTTTATTATCACAGAAATAAGTCTTAAAGGGAGGAGGGGGTGTTCTATTCTGCACAGTAACGGTTAGAAAGTCTGATTTTGGGTCAAATCTAATCAATACAGAGTTAAGAACAATGATTATATTCTGAGAGTAAAAAAATCACTGTAGTGAAGGAAATACAGCAGAGTATAAACATAAAATAAGGTTTTCTCTTTTTATTAATGGTAATAATTCACTCTACATACTCACATAAACTCAGTTATTATCGGTGTCAGTATGAAACATGAAACAGTTAAATTCCTGTAGAAACTGGAGAGGGTAGTTTTGTTTGTATTGCATCTCTTCTGTAATGGTTCTAAATCTTGGTTACAGTAACACAGTGCAATGTATAAAAATGTTATGTACTGCATATCAAAAATAAATGCTACAAAAATGACATCTGAGTGGTATTTAAATGTTACTAAACACATTCAGTATTAGCTAAATACAGAAATACAGAGCTAGTGTAATTATGATGACTGTCATACAAAACGACTATACTTAGTTATATGTTTTAATGGACTGAGAGGATGATCAAAAATGAATTGCAATAAAATCTTGCTACATTCATTTAAAAACATTTTTCATTGTTCTGAAATGTTACTGTTTTGGAGATTTTGTTTTTGTTCCAACAGCAATTACATATCATTACTGCCAAAAAACACAAACATCTCCATTTTTGCAATTTTTATTTTTCTACCTCATTTGATCTCAGCAGCTGCCCTTAACATTGTGTTAAACATTCATGATGACTAATCCAATAGAAATGCTCCAAATTACTTGGAATAAAATTAAAAGTTCCCCTGTGAAGTTACTATTTTGGATATATTTGTTTTTCTTTAAACAGTGCCGATATGTAATTGTAATGGGACATGAGGAGGGAAGGTGCAGAACTGCGCCACCTGCTGGTCATATTTACAACAGTCTGAATCATTATTAATTTCACCATAAAGAAATTTAGATAATTGTTTGAAAGTCACTTAAAGCTGGAACTTCTCTGAAGCAGATTTTTTGTTGCAGTACAAACACAAACAGCCTGAATACAATACGGTAAAATATTCTGATGAGTCATGTGACCATGAAGATTAAAATACAGCTATTAAATTTGACTTTGTTTTATTGCTCCACTTCCAAAAGTAAAATAGAGCAGTACATAAATTCTTTATAATACTTTCTCGGACATGCTCTAGTGTCATACCTGTATTCATGCAGATTTTCACCATGCTGGGTGTTTGCATGGTTTTCCTCAAAGTACCTCAGATGCCAGCTAATATTTACAGAACGTTTATTTAATATACTTGTGGCTTGGTGCTGGTGCTGCTTTGTGAGATGTGTGATGGCCTTTATAATCAGTTTTTGGGGAGATGCTCATAAAAATCATTTGCACATTGATGTTGTGTGCAGTGCAGTTGGGAAGTGAAGGGAAGTAGTCTGGAAGTCAACATATGTTTATTTGATGACAGAAATGCCTACAAAACTCCTGTGTCCCTGCAGTCAGAGACCAGAATTGTCCAGGCTGTGGTCTTTGATGGTGGAGAATTGCTTTTCTAAGAACAGAATTCTAAATATATTGACCCCAATAGAACATTGTCACACTTCCTTGTTTGTTAATGCAGAAGAGTATATAGTAGCATTAAACGGCTTCCGATCACACCGTAAACAGTGGCTAATACTGTCTGAAATCAATCGCTGACTAGCTGCACCAATAATTCAACTAAACAGCTGTACCTACGTTTACACTCAATCAAATTTAAAAGCGTTTAACTTCAGGTGAAAAGCTCTGCTCGTCATGTTTCACTTTTAACGACGTAGAAGATCAGAAAAGGAGGTAACACTGAACTGGAAAGCCAATGTTTGTTGTACAGTAGGACAGATTTACTCACATTTGTGATGAAAAATGCTCCAAGACAAATATTTATTCACTGGTGTATTTACAATCCTGTTTGCCATTACAGAGGTTTGATTAAAATCCTTGAGAAACTGATTTCTCACCACTGTAGCTCGGTGATTAGTTTACTGTAATGTAGAGATACGATTCTAAATCTTTGAGCTGGTTGTGGTGGTTAGGGCACTTGCTAATGTTGCTAATGTTTACACAGCTGAGTAGAAAGAATTAAACCTGGTGGAGTTTTTCTCCTCCAAAATGAAGTACAGTAAGTGCAGATCTGTTTAGGGATTTGTGATGTGGTGTTGAACATAAAGATCCACTCCGCTCCTTTTCTGTTTTGCAATCTTGTCTCAGGCAAATTCCTCATGGCTCAGACGTGGATTTTTTGTGGAATATGTTCTGTCATCTGAATGCAGCACACAGAGGCAGATGTGCAGGGTCACACAAAGTACATATAAAATTACATATGCAGCAGATTGTGATGCACGGTGTGTTGTGACACTTTGTTTCCATAACCATCATTAAACAGTTCTGTGACTTGTGCCACAGCAGCCCTTCTGTCTATTCAGACCAGATAGGATAGCCTGCATCACCCTCATGCATCAATGAGACTTGGGCGCCCAACAACCTGTTGCTGGTCTGTTGTTTGTACCTCCTTTTAATTGGGAGCACCGCACAAGCCTTTCCATTTTAGAGACGCTCTGGCTCAGTCATGTGGCCATAACGATTTGGCCCTTGTCACTTTTCTTCATGCCTACACATTTGTCCCACTTCCAACACAACGACCATGAGAACTGACTGCTCACTCACTGTTTAATATCTCTCCCCAGGCATCTCCTGACTTTGCCTGTCCTGAGGGCAACAATTTCAATATAAGTATCAGGGCCAGCAAATCACAAAAACATGAGCCAATCAAAATCTCTTAAAGTCTATGACATCATCAATGAGAGCCTCTCTTCTAATTGACCAGCTAAAGATTCTCAGATGATTTGGCCACATACTGGACTGACATGGTTCTCTGGCTATCTAGCTTGCTTCTTGCTGGCATGCTAATGTCCTGTAAAGGCGAGCTGTTATTTCACATTTTTTATTTTTAAGAGTCTGCAGTTTGAGATGGAGAAGGCATGAAAATCAAAACCTCTTTTTCATGAGCTTTTTCATAGTGAATTTGTAACCTTACTCTGGTTTAGTGCCTTGGAATTTCTGGCAAATCTATACCTAGCAGTGTTTTAAATCTGCCGAGTTAGTGATGCTGTTAGCTAATGAGTTTTAATGTTTGTGTCAGAGTTGCTAACTCTACACTTGAGTTAGTTAGCTTAACTACACATTTTCTCTGAATTCTGATAAAATAAACATTCAATTTGTAACTATAAAATGCATCAAACATGGTCAGAAGCAATCCACTAGAATAATTAATTAATTACAGCATATGCAGTTTATTTATTACAGTTGAAGATAAAATGAGTATGATGTACATTCATGCATGCTTATTTGAGTATGTACCAGTGTGTTTTGGCTATGTTATAAGAGCAATAAGACAGACTTGTCAGGGCAGGTTTTGCTAAATAGGGATAAAATGATGTTAGTGTGCCAAAACACTGCACAACTCCTCCCCAGTGACCAACAGAAAAACACTGACCTTTTATCTTTTATATCAATAAACATTGACTATTCAAAATTGAACATTAACTTATCTAGTCTTCCTGTCTGAAGTGCATAGTCATATCTTTGCACTT